GTTGATAGTGTTTGTTTTATTTATTTATTTTACCATATTATGAGGTAGTTTTGAAAGGTCTTGGAAAGAGGTTATGAGAGAAGTTGTATCCTTGTTATTTCCTCATGGGATAGATGAACATAATGTTTCATTACTTACATGCACCTCATGGAAAGTGCTGAAGAGATATAATTGGCTCACTTCATAAACTTTGATTACAGCACAAGATTTTTATTAACTTAAGAACAAGTTAAACAATTAAGATAACATGAATTAGAATATATCAGTATGTAGTTGAGAAACTAGCTTTCCATTTTGTTGACCTCAGAACACATCAGTTAGTAGTATGAAGGACTGGTAACTGTATTTGCGGTACATAAAAATTACCATGTTTGGGATATTTTGAGAATCATTTACTTGCTCTCTTGGCTTAATTCCTAGTTTTAGATATATATGCTACTGCAATGGGATTATCTCCAGAAATATTATACTACCTATATATTAATCTTGCTTAATTCAAACTAAGAGGATTTAAAATACTTTTACAACAGAGTGTTCAAACAAAGTTGCTGCTTTCAAATTACTATTTTATTTTATATGAAGTTTGAGATTTTTGTGGCAGTGAAAATGTGGACTATGGTGTACCATATTTCAGTTAATTTTACTTGCCCATGAATAAATAATAAACGTCAGTAACAGACTTAGTCTTTCCACAAGTTAAAGACCAGTAATCAGTCCTGCCACATTGCTAAAATTTTGTAACATAGTTCTTCGGGTAGTAAGCCAAACCTGGCTTCATATTAATCTGTACTGACTCAAACCATAATCACCATACTCCCTGCCACTGGTATAATTATTTGACATTATCATTGTGAATATGCTAACAACACTAAGAATGAATTATTAGCTCTAAATGCTGAGGAATTCATTTGAATGAGCCCAAGAAGTTCAGTTTGTGTTACATGTTAGCTTTTTGAAACAAAGATGATAAATTAGTTTCCAAATATATTCGAGCAACAAACTGTGAATTGTAAAATAATTACAATCGGGGATTACATGGATTATTTCTTACAGTATTATTAGGTGTTTTACTTTGCTACTCTGCAAAAATATGAATATTTAGAATTGGGGTTCTCAACCGACAACCCACGTGGCCCAGGTACATTATTTCTAAGCCCTACTGTGTTCAAATGTATCGTAACTAATATTTTTCTGATATTAGAGAACACCTCTTGTTATTGTATTTACTATTTGGTAATCTCTGCTGACCAGACTACACAGCGCAACAACCCTCGAAGACAGAAATCTTCATACTCACTGCTGTGAAAACCTCAAATCTTACAGTTTTGAAGTACATGGTAGCAAGCATTGCCCAGATTTAATCTTCTCTTAAATTTCTTCATGAATGCAATTTTGATTTGTTACAGTCATTCCTAGATATTTAGTTTGCCATATTTTCAAAAAAATTGTAAGCTATGATTTTGTTCTTTATTTTTGTGACCAGACATGAACATATACTTAGGTTTCTCAATGTTTACTTATAGACCAACCTTCTTTTGCTGTAGTACCTATGCTTTCACCCATCATGAATATTAACAAAGAGTACTGTTAAGAATGTTTCTCTTTATGAGACTTTTCTCTGGAAGAAATTTCATTGGCTTTCTTTAAAAGTCTCATATGTCCAATTTTTATCATTTTATAATATTTATGTATTTCTTGACAAAGCAGAATCGCTGTACCTGTTTATAAAAACAATATAAGTCTGCCATCAGTAATGGCAACCTCATTTACCATATCAATAAATAACAGCACAGAAGGCATATATGGGTTATAAAACACTTTGTGTTTCCTAGAAAAATGGTGATTCAGACATGCATAGTTCCTAATAAGAAATCAGCGATTTGTAAAATTTACCATTGTTATGTATGCTTCTGCTTTGTAGCTTGCAACATGGAGAAGAAAAGTGGGTCACTCCTTGAGTTGATACGAGTTCCATCAGTGATCATGATAAGCCTGGTGATTGTGGTCATTTCTAATACATGGGGTTTCCTTGACCCAACTCTAGAACCACATTTAAGAGAGGTAAGCAAATGTTTAATGAAAGTTACTATCAGTAGAAGGAAACAAACGTAGAATCATATGTCACACATGCATCCACATACATGTCATAATTTATTACTTGTATGCCTGTCATTGCTCATTACTGTGTTAATATTGACATCTTTTGTTTATTTGTGACTACTTTAATGGATGTATCTAAACTGGCAGGTGGTGATGATAGTTTATTGGTTAAAAATGTAAATCCCCATAAAGAAAAACACAGAAACTGCATTAGACAATGTTAATGATGTTAATCTAGAAATAAATGCAGAGAAAACCAAGTATATGTTCATGTTTCATTACCAGAATACAGGACCCAATTATAATATAAATAGAAATAATAAATGTTTTTAAAATGTGGCAAGTTTAAACATTTTAAAATCATGGTAACAGATTAAAATTGTATTCATGAAGCAATAAGAACATATTAAATGAGCCTTTGGTTTAAAAATGGAGCAGGGAATTTTTTGACCAGCGAGTGAATACCAGCTTCTCAAGAAAGCCTCTGCTCCAAAACATTAGTTGGTTAATCACATTTCCAGAAAAAGTAGAACACAGTAAAATATAAATGACAAATTAACATAGGTTTGCTACTACAGCAGTCAATGTAGTTCATAATTTTAATAACAAAATGCAAACAGTAATACCTCTTATGTAATAAACACATATCATGTGTCTCTAGTCTGCACTACTGTGAAGTCTGCAACTCTATACATTCGTGTTTTAGTTTCAGTTGAATCCAGAGCACATTGGTCTTATCTTTCTCCTGTTCTCTTCTCTGTATGGAGTATTCAGTCTAATATGGGGTTGGCTTGCTGATCGTTGTAACAATCATTGGTCCATGATGGTGTGGGGACTTCTTATCTGCACTATTGGATTACTTCTGTTGGGTCCTTCACCTCTGCTACCTTTTCTTAAAAAGTAAGTGAACAAGAAGCATGGACATCCAGGTATGAAGACATTCACATAAGAATCCTGCAGCATGCTTGAACTGAGCATCAGGTAAGTGTTTTCACTCTCCATACCTTAGCCGAGAATCTAAGTTTCCTGTTCCTGTTCCAGCTTGCTTTCTTATTTATAAGTTCTTATACCAATCAGTCTGCCACAATACAACCATATTTAGCACTTCATTAACATTAATGTGGCATTTGACACACAACCACCTGAAGGAGAGCAGCCTACTGCAAGGACATGGGGGGGGGGGGGGGGGGTTGAGTATATGCATCATATGCACTTCATCTTCTGTGATGCAGTCACTAGTCGCAACATGGCACATGCATACAACAAAGGTTATGCAATCAAAATCACAAGACATGTGATACAGTGCAATATGTAAAACATCAGCATGTAGCGCAAATGGGAGAAACTAGAAATATATACAGAATTTGTATGAGGAAACATCTTTGAAACCAGCTTCAAAATGAAGTGTAGGATAACATTAAATTAGAAGTAGGTTATGAGGATGTGGACTGGATTGCAGTGGCTCAGGATTATATTATATTAGTGCTAGCTTATTGCCTTGTTCGTTTTTAGACCCTTTCCCTTCGCCACAATGAAGTGTCCATATTTTAAAATTAAAAATTTGGCAACCCTATGTCAAAAGCAATGTAATAATTATTTCGCTAGTATTTTATCACATTTTCCTTTAATTATACTATACTGCACACATTTTTAAGTTCTATAGAAATATCATAATTAAAATTAATGTTTAGCCTCACTGGTGTTCAGATTCAACTCTTAACTGCTGAGTATTTCTTAGCTCATCAACTCATGTTTGTTGGAAGTACTTCATCAAACAATATGTTGCTGACATTATAGATCTTATTAGAAGAGTTAATTTAAAAAACTGTGAAAGTTACAGGCTGGAGTATCCCAGTAGAAGTGATGTGCTACAAACTGCATGAGTCTGGGATATCCAGAGTATAGTGGCCAAAGGATTAATTGATACTGCACTGAGGATGGTTCTGTAGATCTGCAACACATCAGCAGTAAAGTATACTGAAGTAAAAAATATAATAACATGCTGATGTAAAATGATAGCATTACAGTCATTCAAGAAGCACCAAGGATATGTTACCATCAAAGCCATATTATGATATGATTTGGACAAAATGTCTACGCTAAATGCAGATAATGATTAGATTCAAGAATATAAAGTGAGTTTTGGTATGGCTAATAAACTGTATATGGAAAGTAATAGTATCTCATCAATTGGTTGTGTGAGGTGTTAATAAATTTTCTATTTTAAATATATGTATTCAGTAATTAATTATTTGTAATCAATGTGTGCAATACTCTATTAATTTTTCTTTAATTTTTATAGCACAATTTGGTTGAACCTGGTTGCGTTATCAGTTCTTGGAATCTCAGTAGCACTTACACTCCTGCCAACATTCCAGGCTGTGTTAGACAGTGCAATGTAAGTTCTGCAACTTAAGGGTGGGGGGAAACTGGAAAATGTAACATGAAGTGTCTGTATTTTATACTAGTATTTTCAGTTGTAACTTTTAAATCTGAAATTAATATTTCTTGTATTTCTGTTGGTTACCTAGTGAAGGAGGTTGCAGTGAAGATTTATCAACATACAGCTTAGTAGCTGGAGTTTGGTCTTGCATGTATTCATTGGGGTAAGTATAATTTATGAGCAATTCAGTTAGACTTGAATCCACATACTTAAGACGAGTTAATCATAATGCTCTTGTTGCAGGGAAGTTACGGGACCATCAGTAGGTGGAGTATTATTAGAATACTATGGCTTTCCAATTTGTTCCACTGTTATGGCCTGTGCTACTTTTGTGTTGGTAAGTTCTTTGTTCATTACCAAATCTGATAATTTCTGAAACCAGAATAGTACATGGTGGAATCACTAATGATACTTCTGAACTATTTACATGAATAACCCTTGAAATGTGTTGCTAGTATAGAAAGGAAACAGTTTGTGGGAAAAGGAGTAAGACGTGAGATTTGTCTCTGAAAGTCTGCCAAGGTGGTATGTAAACATTATCCTTTACAAAATACTAGAAGAAAAAGTCTTGTGAGAACAGGTCTGGGGACCTTGGTGGTGGTCTATTGACCACTGGATAAGAGCTCATCTAGAAATGCTGTTCTCAAGCAGTCTTTTACTAAGGATGAAGGCAATGCTAGTGTGGCCAGGAAATGAATTATGTGATCAGAATTTGATGTGTTTCTGCATATTTATCAAGATACCTCATTGTAGTTACTGCTTGTTTCAGTAATCTCATTCATTTTGAAAAGGCCTCTAGAATCTTCCTCAAATACTGAAATGTACAACTCTCTTGACTCTTATGTCACCAAGGAGCCAAGGCTTGAAGATCCACAGGCCGGCCCCTCATCTAAAACATAATTAAATAAGTTTCATTATTGTTCTAATTGTATTTGTATTTTCACCCACCTAATATATAAAAATACTATATTGACCTCATTTAGTGCTGTTTCGGTAAGTGCTCCACTTTCTAGGAACGTATCCTGAGCGTTAACCGGGGTATTACTGCATACCTGGAGGCAATATTAAATACAGACAAACCAATCATGATTCAAACCAGTTTAGGTAAAATCTGTAAGTTTCCAAAACTATTCAACTGATATCACTGTTTAAGACTTATAAAACTACCACAAGACAATTACACTTCAGTCAAGGAAACTATACATTCTCTGATTTCTAGCATGACGTAAGCATTATTTATGTAAAACAGTTTCCAATGCCTTACAGCAGTATGCACTTTCCTATTGCTGCTGCAAACTATATGTGATTCATTGTTGTGCTGAGATTGTTCATACAGCATTTTATAAATAGTAAGAAATTAAAATTAGAAGAATGTCACTGATTACAGTGTTTTGGGGGACAATGAATTCATTCTTTTTGATCAAATTCCAGCGCAATTAATTAAAGCGGATGGCAAAAAGTTGCATATGGAGATCCATAAGCTTATTAAGTTAATTTGGGATAAGGAAGAGATGCCACAACAATTAAGGAATCCATAATTATTCCTATTTGTAAGGGGGCCAAGACTAAGTCATATAGTTAGTTATGAATTGATACTTTAGAACAGTTATAATAAATTTTACTCTGTAGTCAGTTTATATTGAAATTCATTGATTAAAATATTTCAATTTTCTCAGATACAAGAATATTTTGTAAGATATGGATGGTCACAAATGTAATGTGTTTGTGTTATAACAGGCACTAGTTACATTGGTGTTCTTTGTGACAAAAGAGACTATGCATCAGAATAGTAGTGACAAGATCACTACTGACAGTGGTATCAGTGAATATACAAGTTCCTGGGATCAAGACAGGGAGCTGGAACATGATGGAGTGACTGGGTCAGAATGTCAGGAGGACAGTCCTCTGCTGGCCAGCGGATGCCCTGATCATGACCTATACACCAGGGAGAAGGTTGAGTATTATGAGACTGCTGTTAATGCAGAAGAGGACAATGATCCAGATAGACTGTTAGATGTAAGGAGGACTGTAGGCATTACTGGAGGTGGTGCCTGTGAAGTTTAGGTTGCAACGAGGAAAGCATGTTCACTGAGTGCTAAAAACGTCTATACTCAGTGCACTGAAGAGAAGATTAAAAGTAAGACTTTTACTACAGCAGTAGTTCCATCAGTACTGTCTGAAATGAAACCACACAGAATGAAAGTTACAGAAGTGTGGAGTGATAAGTTTTCTGTTGTTATCTTCTCATATTGTCAGGATTGTTAATGTTCCTCAACAGTTGACAGCCAGACATTTGAGTTCAGATTGAACTGAACTATAGACAGATAAAACCATACAACTTGTAAAGTTCAAGAGATGGCTCTGTTCATATAACAACTTTGGCTCGACACGATAACTTTTAGACTTTTTGAGCACTTTAATACAAGCAGAAACTTTTTATTCATGTTAGTAAACATTAAAAATGCATGCAATATATTATAATGTTTGGTGAATGGAGGGCTTGAACAATAATCTGTACACTGTCACCAGGTACCATCACAGAAATAGTAAATATTAGCCCAGTCCACTGTTCATTATTAAAAATCCACATCTTATTGACACATACTGAAAAGCATGTTTGCTGTTGAATGTATGCAGGATAGGGTGAAAAATTCATCCACATAATAATTTAAAGCAGCATTTCAGAACCTTTTTCAGTCTACATACCCCCTAGTCCCAGAAAGAAACATTTCTGTTGATTTAAAGTATGGCAGCCCTATTGAATTATAAATACTCACTAAACAAGCATAATTTTAAACTTAAGCTCCTCTGTCACTAGAAGGAATAATGTAGGCAGTTGGTTATACTTGATTCTTGATAGGGAAAAGAGAAAAGTTGGTTTAAGTAGAAGTGAAAGTGTGTAATAGTTGATATTTAATTGTATGTATTATCCTACTTCTTATTTGCTCACAAAGGTTTGAGAGATGGTATAGAAGTGTTTGTCCGCCTTTCTAGAGTTGTGGACGCCCTTCCTCTTAACCTTTCTGTTACCACAGATCCCCTTCCCCAAAAATATCTCATACATTTAGATTAAATAGAATAAGACTACTAAAATATGGATAGAAAGTATTGTTTTTTCATCATGTTCTTATTCCAATGTGGAAGTAAATAATGTTATAAAATAATCTTAGAAGTTGCAGGAATACAGCATAAGAAGATAAAAGAGTAGAATCTACTCAACTTGTGGACCCCTTACGCACAGCTTGCAGATCACTGATTGAGAAACAGTAGTGTGGAACACATTATGTCAAGATCAAGTCTGCTTGACTGCCCACTTCTGTTATTAGAATAAAATAATGTGGGCTATTAAAAGCCAGAAGGCACAAATCTTTGATTCTGTTAGGTGTTATGAAATCACATTATAAGGTGTTATTAGTTGGCATTTAAGTAAGTCTCACACTCTCAAAAGTACAAGAAGTTGCACTCCTATGTTCTGTGCATTTTTGCACATAAGTTCATAATTGTTCCAAACTTATGCCAGTGAAAATGTTAATCCCATCTCTGACAAAGGACCTCAAGTCTTACGAAAAAATAGAAGCAATCTAAAATGTGTATTTTCTTATATTGTGAGGTAATCAACACAAGCATATTTATGTATATTTATTTTCTGAAATAATTAAAATAAATAGTTTTTAAAACTCATTAGTGTAGAAACTAGTGGCTGCCAATCATTTTTACTACTGAAATAAAAGAGGAAATGATTCAATGAATAGGCAAAGGTAAAGAAGCATAAATTATTTAAACATGGGAATTTATATTGTTATTAGTCCAAGCATAAAAATTAAAATGTATAAATAATATGGATGTAAATGCCTGACTGCTAGTATAATGATGAAACTGAGAAGATGTGTGTGTGATTCATTTTTAATTTGTTTATCATTTCCTTGCCCAAACTTATGAAAAATTACTTTTCTGTGCTGAATCCTTAAAATACAGCAGCTTAATTATTCATTGATATGACACTTTTTGTCAACAGTATATGTTGTAAGTTAACAGTAAATACATTTCTAATGTAGAAACAAATTAGTTTTCAGATGGCTGTTTTCTTGGATGTTGCACAGTGTATTTGGTTTTCCTACTTATAATTTATTTCTTATACCTAATGAGTTTCAGTGCACTGATTAGAGAATAATAATGAAGTCTACATATATTGATAATACTGCATCATTAAATAAGATCAATATTAAATTTAAACAAATGAGTGAATGAGAATGTGGAAGGATATATTAGTTGTGAACTTTTATGTTTACAGTCCACGGTGCTTAGATTTTTAATTATTAAATTATGTAAGTGAATATTAAAAGTTTTCACTTCACTGTAACATTGAATTTAATATAATGTAAAATGGAAAATATATTTTATTGCCAAAATTTGTCAATGAACAACATGGTGTTTGCCATGTTAGTGGAATAATGGCTTAAGTACATTGTCGTGAAATTGTGGTGTTGGAGAAAGAAGACTGAAATCATTAAACAGAGTGAGAATTGGAAGGAAATTTAATTGCTAAAGGCAGCTAAAGAGTAGGATTTTACTTTATGCCCTATTGGATGAAAGAAACAAAAAGGACCAGATACCAAAGCTTGTCCACATTGCACTGCTGCTATCACAGGGGCACTACTCAGTCTCATTATAAAATCTGTGACTTGATTTGTGGCAAACTGATTGGCACATATAATGAACAAAGTTCATTCTGGGAGGAAATGTGTTATGCTTAATTTTGAAATCTGTATATGCTTCTGCAGTACAGACAGGACTGAAACTTAAGTACACTTTCTAAGTGAGTTTGCAGAATCCTACAGCAGCATGTACGAAAATGACCAACTTCTGGGATGTTGCACTGTGTAGTCTATATGGTGCAACATCCCAAGTTATGAATGCCTCTAGTTTGTCTGAAGGCATATCCTGCAAGCTGAACAGTCATGTCTATTATTGTACATTGACATTTAAAAGCCTGTTTAAAATAAGTTGTAAGGACATCTACAGAATGTAAATATTTTACAGGATAAAGGTTAATTACATTGGTTGTGCAGTATCATCATCAGTTTCCTTTTAATGTTGGGTACCTGGACAACAAATGTAAGGAACTCGGTTGAATGGGACATAAGTTAGTCAATAAAAGTGTAGTCCCCACATTAACAATTAAGGTCAGCCATTGTCCAATCATTTGTGTGGTAGCAAAATTAAAATATTATGAAATGTATAATTATTATTATTTACTTGTTTAAAAGCAACAAATGTTGAAGTGCTGTTACTATTTATAATGAATTAATGTAAAATTCTTCCAAAGACATTGCATGGTTTAATAGCTGCACTGCAAATGAAGTCCCTCTTTTTAAATACTGTGATAGTGACTAGTTAGTTTTCATCTGAATGTAAAGATAAGAATTGGATCCTAGACTTTATAATTCCATTACTCACTTCCTTGAATAATGAAAATATTATTATTTGTTAAACACCAAGTAAATGTTTGCCTAAATGTATGTATACAAGCCTCAGACCTGGTCTCCTGGTTTAGTTAATACTGCAGAAGACCAGGTTTGAAGCTAGCTCTACCAGGGAGCCCAACAACTAGGATTTCTGTCCTTTCTGTTTTACCCTAGTACAGAAGATATTCCAGCTTCCAAAACATATTTTTAATGGACAGAGTATATATAAAAACACTTTTACAGATTATAGTGTAAATGGCTTGAACATATAAGACATTAATGATTTCAGATATCATCTATCATGCTTTCACTACCACCTTTACTATGATAGTACTACTAATTTTTCCTGTTGAACATGTTACAAATCTTCATTTGAAGCCAACATTTTCCACAAGTAAGAATGTTACAAAGACTTGGTGCTTCCTGTGTATTGCTGGAAGAATTACTCGTTTCTGAGAACTGCAGAATTCATGATCTATTAATATTGCTAAGTATAGATGCCATTTCCATCTGTTATGAAGGATTTTGTGCAAATATTCCCTTAATCCATTAAGGAAATTCAACAGGCATCTGCCTGTCTATTTGTAAAAGTCACATATTTCACACATAAATTCTTCAGCAGATCCTTTAGTTGCAGAAGGCCTCTCAATAATTTTGCTTGGTGGATCCCTCGCACATTTACATTGAAAGTGTTGCGCAGTGTCATGATAAACTAAAACACAAAATGACTTTTCTACTTTGGACACCATTTAGTAATACTACTGACGGCAGCTGCACATGTCTGGATTGTGCAAGAATGCAAATAGTTTTTGAGTTGAACTTTCAGATGATCACTACTACATATTAAAATAATAAAGAGAACGATTTGTATTTATTATATTTCTGTGACTGTAAAGACAGTGATATCAGAATTATTATATAATTTTTGCATAAATATGTAGATTTGGGGTATTTCCAGTCCTGAGATATAATCTCTTGATCTTGTGAATCTTGTATTAACTAGAACAGGAAAGACTGAGATTTTGTTGAAATATTTTTAGCTCTTTTATTGAGTATCACTGTAATATTAAGAGATTATGTTCTTACTGCAGCCTTTATTTAGCAGGATAAACAAGCTGTAACATATAATTTCTTATTCTGCCTTTAAATATATGTATTACGGTCACAAATCTAGTAAGACTGCACTTAAATGTAAATATTGTATTACAATGATTGTAACATCTGCCTTTTACAAATTTACCTTAAAGAACAAGGAAAAAGTGATAAATAATATACTTAATGTTCTGTTGAATACTGTTTTTTCTTTCTTTCCTTCTATTTCAACACACCTACTTACTATAAAAGAGTGGATCTGAAGTTTAATTTGCTGTGAAACCTAATCTCATATGTAAAATTGTAACTGTTTGTTTAAATGTATGCTTATTAAAAAATAAAGCTGTCCCACTATATGCCATGTAGGCACTTAGGGGTAGGGAAGGTATAGCTCCAACTCATTCTTAACCTTGCCATTAGATGGGGGTGAGTGGTTAGTGTAATGCCCCAGCCACACTTTACCCCTGGGATAGAACCCTGGTACCTATTGGATAGGAGGCTGGGTGGGCCCCAGAGCTAATCTGGATGCAAAGGCTAGAGGAAAACTCTTCTGCCTCCATCAGGGATCGAATCCCAGTCGTCCAGTCTGTAGCTAGTCACTATACTGTATACTCTATATATGCATATTATTTTAAATATTTATTAGCACAGAATATTTCAGAACCCTATACTATACTAGTGGTCTGGAATATCATTTAGACAAATCCACCCTGTAAGATTTATCCCCTTTGACCCCAACAGCCACCACACTGTTATCTCATGTTGGTATTGATTATAGGAAATTATAAAGTACAAACATGGTGTGGCATTATGTTCATACAAAGATTTGTTAAAATCCATCAAATATTTTTACAGGATGACCTCATGGACATACTGATACCATAAGCTTACGTGCAAGAAAGGTAGGCTAAAATCGGTCAAATTTTTCTAAGGCATGAGAATTCAAAGTTATAAAACATGTTAGATGAACACTGCAGCACTAAACTCTGGGTCATGATGTGACATGGAATGGTGGATATTACATAACATGAAACTTCAAATGTTTGTTATTACTCTGCTCAGAAACTATCATCTTACCTACTTTCCAAAACACTAAAAATTAAAGCATATAAAATAATAATTTTACCTGTTGTTTCCATGGTTTGGCAAGCTGTAGGCTGCATGTGGCACTGACCTCCAGATGTGGAAAGTAGCTGCATGTATGCTGAAAGCAGTAATGGACAGCCAACAAGGGAGAATTCACCACCTAGGAGACCAACCTAAGGGCTGTCAACTTCTTGCAATACAAGACTAGCATGTTATGAAATGTCACAAAAGCTGTTGATTTGGGTCAGATTCTGATACAATCTGATGGAGAAAAGAATGTAATGAGAATATCTGAACCTAAGAGACAGGAAGAAACAGGAGATTACAGGTTTTCACAGCAGTGAAAAAGTGAACTGTGGTCTTCTGGGTTGACACAATATTCTTTTAGGTGTTTACCTACCAATGTTTTGGAGGAAAATATCACCTCGGTCTTCATCTTCTAGCCTGAAGATGGAGGCAGTGTCTTCTCTAAAATGTTGGTAACCACCTACAAGACACTGGCATCACAATCCACAGTGACAGTTCTTCAGTTTTCATGCTCATGTGAGTTCAGAATATGGTATTCTGGTCCATCAGAATTTGTAATTTTGTATGTGGTTTCAGAGGAACATGCTACCTGCATGTGAAGGCAGTACATTCAACCAAAATGGTAACTATCTACACAGACTACATGGTATCAGAACAACAGTTTGAGAAGTAACAAGAGGATGGAAAAAAATTACATATCGAAGAGTTTCAGAATTCTTACTCATCACCAAATATTATCAGGGTAAATAAATCAAGGATAATTATATAGGTGGGACACGCAACATGCATGTAAATGAGAAATGCATGCATAATTCTGGTAGGAAGCCTGAGAGACATTAGGAGATTCGGGAGACGAGATGATAACATTAATAAATAACTTTACCTTTATCAGCCACGTGCTACTGCTTATTCATCGTCCAACTGGCCATGTCACAGTAGTATGCCCACAAACCCACAGTACAGGGGTTCTAATACCCTGTTCCAATACAATAAGAGTTAAATAAATGGGGAGTGGGGATGTGGACTGGATTCAACTGGGTTATGAATGAGCCCACTTGCAGACTTTTAATTTGACTGAGAAACATTTTGGAGACAGATCTATTAGAAAACCAAGGAGGAAATGGAAGGATATTGCTACAATGTATCCTATAAAGATGGATAGTAGGATGTGAACTGACCTGGCTCTGGATCATTTTAGATGAACAGCTTTAGTATTAGTGGCATTGAACTTTCATGTTTTACTACAAGAGAATTAATCAATTAACAAAGATACTGGAAACAGGTCCTTCATAATACACATTACGCAAACTTTATAACATTCCAAAAACGTGGATGAACATTTAAAATTCTATTCTTGCTGCTCGTGGGGTGGGGGTGGGGGGTAATAAAAAATAAACAAACAAAATAAAATAAAAAGACAGGCTATTTCAGTGCAAAATAGTTTATGTAAACATAACAAAGTCATTGTTTTTTCACAGTGAAAATAAAGGTCTTAAATAATCAACCAAAATCACTTACATATAATAATTACTTTGTCTTCAATGTCCCATGTACAGCTTCAGTAAGTTTCTTAGTTTTGTACAGTGAGAGAAACTCAGTCTTTGGGTTCACAAACAGAAAGTGAGAGTCATTAGTGGAAAATGCAGTCATTCTCTCTGCCTCCTTAATAAATTCTGCCAAGGTATCAGGTTTTCCACCATCTGACAAAGGTGGCACATGTGGCCAACACATATGCAATAGCCAATGTTTGACTTTTTCAGGCAGATATGCTTCAAATAACTGGTGGATATCCTCTCTGAATAATAGGTTCTTCAGCTGACCACATGCAACTTCTGTCAATGTTGCTGTTTCTGCATATATGTTCATCTCACCTTTGTCAAACACTCGATCCTAGAAATAGCACCAACAGTATATTAAAGGTGTCTACTGAGAATAAAATGTAAACTGAATTTGCTCAACCAACTAATTAATATCAACAGAAACACCACACCAATTAATTTAATTTGGGGTTCAGCAATAAAACTTAGTTCCCATGAATAAGGGTGCACTGTGTAGGCTTCTAGATGATGTACACTGACAGACGTAGAGTGAATATTTATATCTGGTAGCTACAAACAGGTTTGGGACAGGATTCACATCTTAAATCCATTTGCACTAAGAAGCCCTTAGACACAACTGATCTCGGGTAGCTTTAGCACCTATACACTTCTACTACTGTTCATAGGACTATCATTCACTTTGGGAATCACAGAAAAACAATAGGTTCCATAATCTAATAATATATGAAATACCAGTTTTCAATATTTGTACTAGTCTTGTAATGAAATTCCAGATTATGATCTGCTGCAGTAATGAGCCCACCACTTATTGTTACTGTGTCAACAATCTTGGTACTGCACATTGACAGCCAAACTGCCCTTAATGAGGGTGATATGGCAGCCAAGTACCAATAATAATTCTGAAAACAAACAGGTAATCTATTGTGCAGGCTGTCTTCGAACAACTCAGGACTGCCCTTGATGCTGTGAAGCCAAATAATGTTTGTTTGCCACAAAGTTGGCCTGCTGCTTAATGAATCTGTTTTCCCACTTTAAAACCTTTCACATGCTACTTGCATTCTTCTCTGGGAACTGTCATGATCATTAGTCGAATGGTAACTGAGTAATTTACTAAGCATGTGTATTGATCATGAGCAGGTTTTGGCCATCTCCCATACTGTCACTGTGTTTGCTACTGTCTTGGAACGTGATAAGCTAACATGTCAGTCTGAATCTAGGCACTGAAGTGATAAATAATTTTTATATGAACTGTATCTTACCTCCACTGGAGGTTTATGAAACAGCATTCTATTCTTAATAATTACCAGTATTTGCTAATTTATTTAAATATTTTTGGCCAGTCTGAAGGAATAAAGAGAAGATAATTAAGAGACTTGATAAAATTATGTATTAAACACTGTTCTTACCTCAGACATTCCATCATCACAATCACTGTTAGTGGTGCCAAGACACCAGGCCACCAGACACACAACACACATCAAGGCATCCAGATTAACCATCACATGAACAAAATATTCCACCAACAACTCTCTGGCCTTCTGTGATATTACAGGCAGCTTGATACAGTTGAGCTGTGTTGCAAGACTGGAAATCAGCTTACGTACATGTGCACACTCATCATCCAACAATGTTATAACCACAGTCCACAGCATACACACATCCAGAACTGTAACATGAATTTAATAAAGACAAAATTATTATACACCTTTCCTGCACAAAGCTTTTCGCTAGTTTTCCTGTAGTAGATTATCTATTTATTTCAAAGACCTGTCACCTTTGTCATTTTCGCATAAAATACCTAATGTTCATCTATCAAAAACAATGTAATATAAAATAAATTTAATAGCAAAATAATATGGCACATTACATATGTATAATATTGCCAGAGTTCCCTGTATGGCCATTATATACTGTTTGACAAATATTTATTTGCCTGCAACAGAGAGAAGCTCTCCAATTATAGGAGGCATACACATTATAATACAAAATATGAATGCTCTATACATAAAAATAAAATGACAGAAAAATAAAAGCACAGCAACTTTTAGTTGTGAACATCCCTTCCTATGCTAGGAATAAAACCATGCAGACCAGCCCATAGTTGGTCACAAATCAAATGTCTTACCCCCAGATTCAATCTTATCTATCCTAGATAAAAATTCTACTCAAAGTAACCCATACCTGAGAGGAATGTGACTGTGCCCTTCAACCAAGAAGTGTTTTCCAGCAAGATGTTTGCCACAGTCAGTCTGCATGTTAATGACTTTTCTGCTAAGGAAAACTCAACCAAGTTATGGCACATCTGACTGGCAACTTCTGCTGAAGGTAGTACCTGTATGTGCAACAGATACTTGTTAAAATATTACCCATAATCAGCTACTTCTCTGAGTTTTGTGTGTTATTAGAAATTTGTATAAAGGATATTTTAGCAGGTAGATAGGCTTCTTCTGACAAGCATACTTCAGAGATATAAGTTGTGTAACAGAATGGTCAAATTTAATGTACTTCACTATGTACATAAACAAACAATGGATCAGAATACCAGAAAATAGTTTTAATATTTCTAAGCTGTACAAACTTTTAAAATCATATTATGACTGGCACTGAATCTGCCAAACCTCAAACCACTGCCATATTAGCTTTCCTGCTATAATATCAAGGAACCACTGCAATATGTTTAATAATGATTTTCATGAAACTTATTGCAATGGTTCAAATTGAGTATTACACCTCCTGGAAACCAGCATAAAATTAATGATGTCAAGCAGCTGTTAGGAAAAAGAGAATAATATGAAAGCAACCTGAGTTACTGATCTATTCTGAATTGCTTTTCCTACCATTCTCTTCAGACAAATATTGATAACCAAAATACATAACATACGTATGTAATAATTACCCAACAATCATCATTATTACTATTTTCGGCTCAACGTGTCTCAACTCTGTTGGGTCTTCCGCAAGAACATCTTACTCGTCACATAAACCATATAAGGTCTTACAGTACACTCACATCATTAATTAGTAATGTATTTAAAGCAACCCAATTAACATATCAATGTTATATTAGGCCTCTTGCAGTAGTAATTGGATAGTTATTACATATATATTTTAAATACTTAACAACAGCATGCATTCTAATGAATTGCTAACCAAGATTATTACTGTGCAATGATCTGAACCTATTCATCTTGTCTATGTCATTATTTCATTAACAAAATTAAAGGAACTTTATGTCAAATTAAACACTGACTTACACAATTTTTACAACTTACATTCTCTAGCTGCATGACCTTCATGAGAGCCCCAGCACACTTCAGCACAGTCCAGCTGATACCTTCATATTCGTCTTGACACTGCTGAAGGAGGCCTCTCAACACTTCTTCAGCACCAGTTTTCACGCTCAAGAGAGCCTTTGGACAATAGCTCAACACACAAAATGTTTTCCAACAACACTCTGAAAATGTATTATGCTCCTTCAGTATCACCTGCCTTACTAAAATCTCTCCAACAGCCTGTGAAGATCTTAACACATTGGCCAGTGCCCCTTCATGGCACCTATCCCACTCCTTGACAAGACTACAAAAACTTTCCTTTACTGGCAGAGTGGAATCTTCAGTATCTTCTAATAAATATTCTCCTGTAGTCATAAGAGCTTCCAGGAAACAAAGTGTAACATTGACAACTTCATATCTTGCATGAAGAAGCAGCTGAACTACCAACTGTTCCATATCTTTAAGGAAAGGCGCAGTTGGAATGTCTGAAGGATGCAGAGCAAGCGACAGTTCTAACAGGAGCTGCACAGCACGATGTGTGTACACTCCTCTACCAATCATGTTGCTTGGCACTGTCTCCTGCAAGTCAGACACAATTACTTCTTACAGCACAGGTAATATGCATATGAAATAAATTGAAGAGTCAACTGTGAATGGAGAAGTTACAACATTTCACATCTGCCATTAAATTAATTGTTTTCATGGTAGTAGACGAGTCAATTTAAACTGACTCATTCTATGCAGTAGAGACCATCTTTAAAAAGCCAATATTAGCTCAGCCACTCAAGAAATTCCCTGCCTTTTATGGACAATCGATCAACTATTTAACAGGATGCTTACTTACAAATTTATTACTGGATTCACAACTACCCAAAACTAGACCCTATCTTGAACCAGATGAGTTTAGTCTACACAATCACAATCTATTTCTTCAAGTTAAGTTTTAACATAATCTTCCATTTGTGCCTAAACATGTCATAAATTCATAACCAAATTAAAGCTAAGGGCTCACCTGTGACCTAAATAAGTCCAAATGGATGATCTGGCATATTTCTTGCCATACAGAAGGGCTAACTGATGTAAGCAGTCTTCTTGCCACAATATGAAGAATATGCAAGAACACTTCTGATGTGATGAAACAGACCTGAAAACCTGATTCTGATGGAAGCAACCATTTTAAACTAGCTATCCACTCCTCAACTTCTCCTGCTACTTCCTTGCTTACAGACAATGCTGACAGACTCTCTTCAAGAATATGAAATATCTAAAACAGAACACAGCAAAATTAAATCAATAACCATGTTATTTTACTAAGAATTTATATCAAATGAACCTAACAGGGTGGAAGAAACAGGATGGCCAAGAACTGCATAATTAAATTGGGAACTTCACAATTTTAATCAATTAGGATAAGATGAGCACGACACGTAATTTTTTTTTGAAATGGCAAAATGATTAATAATTTTGTATAAACTCTTGTTCACAATTCTTGGTTTAAAAACATCCTGCAAAATATATGTCATTTCATCCTAATTTCCTAAATGTCACGGAATTTTCTCATGGATTCATCTACTTATTGTTTCTACCAATGGCTGCTCTAATGGCTAGTCACCATCTTACTTTTGATGTGTGACTGTGTTCAAATTAGCTGTTACTATTATTATTTAATCTGGTTGTCAATTGCATGTACTGTAGTTGTTTTATTTGAATTTTCACATTTGATAAGGCATGATGGTAACATAGTGGGGGGGGGGAGAAAGTATTTCCTTAGAAGAAAAACTCAACAACAAAACATGGAATATCCATAACAACTCAGAATATAATAGTCAAAAACCATAATGTTATTGAAGAAAATGCAAATCAGGTTACTTTTTGAAGATGTAAATACACTGTTTACTCTGTGCAAAAATTTTCACAGACAGTCCCTGACAAATGACTTGAATGAACATCATGACACTGCATTTTTAGTTTCTGGGAATAATATACTGCACAAATGTTTGTATAGTGCTTAGAAATTTACCTACATTATTTACTGAGCATGAAAATAGGTGTAAGATTAAAATGTTATGATTTTGCATTTCTTGTAATTTACACTTCCCACAATTTACACTGTTTTTTATAAATTCTTAGAAAAGTGTAAAAATGTGATTTCACTGTAATCACCTGCAGAAGTAGCCCATGCCTATAGTTCTCTGTGGTGCATTTTTGAGATGAAATTGCAACTAGTTTCTGAAGTAACACTACAAGCTGATGTGGAGCAACAAGAGGAACAAGAGCCTTTGCAGCCAACATCCTTGTCTTAAGCACAGAGCTCAAGGAACATCGGTGAACGAAAGGAGCATATGCACTCAGCTGTAAATAAGAGGTTAGAACAATCAATAACTATGCACATTATAAAGACCTAAGAAGTATGTACTTACTGGATTTTTTATATTTAACATTATTCAGAGAACTGTTCTGGTTTGTATCATACCATTCTTCAAAACAAAGGAATTCATACTTTTAGATGGAATTATTCTATCTTCTTACTATATGGAGTAACTAACCAATTATAATAAAGTCAATCACTCTTCAGCCTTTCAAGAAACCCTCTGTTGATAGGTCTATAAGCATTCTCATATAACAAAATGTAATTCCCTATGATCAATTTCAATATTCCTTCACTATTTTCAATTCAAAAATATTGGAACATAGCCATATTTTAAAAGAATTTCTTAGTAATAGTTATATTATGAATGTGTACTGTATTTCAGTTAACTTTTATTTATAAAGCCATACACAACTGCCACACTGAGCTGGTTTTACCAAGGCTCAAATTCATGTCATAGTTTTGACATTTCTTAAGTCTCTTGTCAGTAGTACACAGTACATATAACCAGAATTCAAATAAATATAGTAATTTAGATGAAGGGGAATAGTTCAGTCAGTACAGTGACTATGAGTTGGACACCTGGGGTTTGATTCTTGGCAGGGGCAAGGACTTTTCTCTTTACCATCTCAATCTGGGGCTCACCCAACCTCATACTTTATGGGTTCTACAAACTCATTTCCTGGAGGTAAAGTGGCTGGAGTGTGAAGCTGACTACTCCCCTCACGTTGGGGTTAAGAACATGTGAAGCTATACTTCTACTCCCTCACAGGGTGCTTCTTTAGCACAGGGGCAGTTCTACATTTACCTTTAAGATAATTCAATGACAATGTTATGATGCAGAAATGAGGAAGTACAAAATATATTAAACATCCATATCAGTGACAACCATATTAGTTCACAATAATATTATGACTGAGTCTGTTCCTTAAAGAAGTAAAACAGTAGGGCAACGTACATAACTTGACAGGCTTACATAAATGTAACAGATCTACTGTACCTGTAGGTTGGAGTCTGTTCCTTCTAGGGATGATGGGTACAGTCTAGAAAGAAGTAACAGTACTGGGAAGAGGGCAGGCTGCAGACTGTTATGACACGCTTCCATGCTGGCAACAGCCTCTTTCAATTCTTTCAGTAAGAAGTCATACAATGAAGGATAACGCAGAAAGAAGATCCGTCCTGTCATACGATTCCGCATACTCAATTCTTCTCTAGATCGGTGCACACCAAAAATGCGGGTTACCAGAGCAGAGAATAAAAGTGTAGCAGAATTACGCTCCTGGAACATGAGTAGAAGCATAAAGACGTGTTCATCACTGGCTTGGTAATAAGAGTGATATGATTACCAACAGCGGTACAACAATCTGAATTATTCATTTAAATAATGAACAGCCTGCATGACTCAGCATCATCCATTATCAGTTATTTAGCTGTTTAACAAATTTTTTGTTGTAATTACTTGTAACTTGGTATACGATTTAACACTATTCAATAACCTCAATTTAACTGAATAATAAAAACATGTATATTTGCTGATGTAATCACCTTTTTTTAAATTAGAGTACCAAGAGCCATGAAGATGGCTGCATCGTAACTGAAACATGTTGCTACTGGTTCATGTAATGGTGACCTTGACAGTTACTGCAGATGGCCACAGGACTGAATTCTATACCAGACAGTACTTCCTTATTGCTCTGAATTGTAAATATGTTATTATTGTTGTTGTTGTTGTTTAGTTCTGTGTATAAAGTACTTAATACTTAACTCAAAGGTTTGCATCAAAACCATGTGATCACTGACTTACAAACAATATTTCATACTTGTAGTCATATATGATTTATCTTCATACTAAATTTTTCATTCTTAGCTTCCAGCCTCAAAGTGGTAGTATGAAATGAAATTAAGTTTCCATTCAGTACAGTGACTGGCTACAGACTGGACGGCCAGGGTTCGATCCCCGACGGGGGCAGAGTATTATTAGTGGAAAGTGGTTCTACAAAAATGAACTTACCGCCCATGTCTTGCCCTTGAAACCTTGGATAGCAACTATCACCCCTTGTGCAACATAAGGAGTAACAGACTCTCCCAGTAGTGAGTGACGAAACAGTGCGCGTAAGATATTCAATGCATGAATGCGAGCCTCCACATTGCTGACACAGTCAGAGCTTACTACTGACAAATTAAAAATGTTGAACTCTGTAGCACTACTAGAAGTGACTGATGCGGCATTGTCATCAACATAGTCTTCAGCTGCTGTCTCATTATTGACAATGCTAGTATGTCTGGTTCCTACTCTGTTGTCAGAATTGTCAGCAAGAGTTAAGAGGGCAGCCATGGACTGCTGAAAGCAACGTCGGCTGCCTCCAATCTGAGGCTCTGTTGTTAAAAGTGCCTAAGATGAGAGGAGAAGAAAAAACAAACTACTTTATTATATATATATATATATATGAACAAACTGAACAGTGTTGTCAAATAACATTGATACCACAAGCCATAAGTGCCCATTATAACTATAAATAAGAGGTCTGACATATAATCTGGAATTCACAAATTCTCTAATTCATATAATGTTTTCCAATATGATTTTCTTGCAAGTTCTATGCAAACAAGAAACAATACAAATAAATTTTGTTGAGAAAACAGTATGGAATGTCATATGTATAATACAGCTACTATGTCTTCAGGCGAATCCATGTTCAAACTGCATACCAGAAATTAGTGGGAATATAAAAATACACCTGTCAGGAATGCTTGGACATCACATTATGAAGCCACCAAATTGAGTGTTTCAATCACATATACAAGTATACCTTGGTTGTCAAGGTACTCACAGCTACACTTTCAAAACAGTCTTTATTTGTCCAAACATCATCAGACCCAGTGTTTATGAATGTTTCAGTCTTCTTTTTAATTTTTACATTTTTGCTGACTAATTAATACATGAAAAAATAGTAGTTGATATGTCCTTTTCAGTTCTAATCCTGATTCTCTTGATTTCCTTGATGATGGAATTAAATATGGATAAAGCAACTGTTATTACAGATGTTTTCCCAGAATATGATATGCAAGAAAGTAATGTGACCTCAAAACTTAAGTGACAGTACTCCAATCAAAAACTTGTAGATACAGATATGAACATCATATTAGTAACAACACAGTAGTTGTCTGGTAGTTTATTTTCTGCTAACCTGCAGAACACTGTACCTGCACCATAAATGGTAGCCCTGCAGACCTTCTAGTAGCACAAAGTTTGGTGCCCTTTCCCCAGCTGATAGTATACATAACCTCTTCTAACCACTGACGAGGCAGATGATGTAGTCTGGAAGATGGATGTCTCCATAGCCTCCCACAGAGCTTGCAAAACCCCACATAAGCCTGTTCAAATGCACCACGATGTTTTGTCTCTACCAGTAGTGTAACCAAGTGAGATCCAATTGTAAGCACTTGCTCTTCTGTTAGTAAGCCTTTCTCAGTACTATATAAATCAAGAGAGAAAGTATAGAATATTCAAATTTGTGTCAATAACAAGACAGTCATGAATGATCCAATTTCATTGTAACTTAGGAATGAATATAAATGTTACAAAGTTTTGGTAATTTAAATCACAGATTAATAAAAAACAATCATTAAATATAATTTCAATAACTGCATATTCAGGAGATTAAACACTGCATTCATCCGACCTTAGTTTAGTTTTAGTTAATTAGTTCTGTATATTTAATTGTATCTCTTTATAAGTTATGTGTATTTTATATCAATTTATTAACAGTTTTGTATTTTACATTAATTACCACACAATTTGTTCAATTTAGAATGTTTCTGTATCACACATCTCAAGATGTTTATTGTATTGACAACTACTTGGGATTTTAGCACCACATGCTTAGAATGAAAGTGGACATCCACTTCTAAGTGCTAAAAGTAGCCCTTACGTGTGCAGAAAACATATTTAGGGATTTGTTTAATTTTTTATCTCACATATAAATTACCCTGCTTTTAAATAAATTCTGTTTACTACCCCACACAGAGTTACATTTAGGATAAAGCATGAGAAACCAGGTTGTGCGGATGTCTCTCTCTTTCATGAGAAAGGGATGGTTCTTTACGCCAAACCTGGACCCTTACGCCAATGGAAATTAATGTTACATCATTCTTGGTTGGAGTCTATAAGTTTGTTATCAAATTAGGAATGAGTTGTCTTCTTGTGAATGTGTCTTAACCCCGGTGTTCTGGGTGACAGATTTCACTTCACACTTGGACTTTGAGACTTTGCTTCTCACTTGGTACATTTTGAACATTAATTAGAAAACTTCACCAACTACAATTAAATTCCAAGTATCAAAGCTACCAAGAGCACGCAAGTGATTTATAGCTTGACTGTGATATTTTATAAATTTATCATTTACCACCAATAGTTATCTGTAACCTCAGTGTTGAACATATGTCAATAAATAGTGGTGACTTCCTCATAAACATCAATCTGTGTTATCATTCACTGATGCGAACCAGGCCGTTAACACAACCCAAGATCAGAGTCCACCCACCGACAAGCTAGGACCCAACAATCATACACCCTGAGCTAACCACAATGCCCCTGGGAGCAGAGGCAGCTGAGCACCCACCCTGAGACAACTACAGCTCCATGGGATTCCAACCAGCAGCAGCACGGGAGGTGACAGTAGCAGACGGTTACACACATATGTTCATTTAGTTACGGACTAGTTATACCTACACTTTGTCTGAATCCTTTGCAATTAAGATAGGAGCTTGCTCTGAAAGCTCTCCAAGCAACAAAGACACCTCTTTTACAGTGCGCCAAGCACACAGCAGCACCATCTGTGCAGTAACATTTAAAACTGATGACTCAGATGCATTAGAAGCTGAGTCCTGCTTCAAGTGCTGCATGCCTGACAACAAATCAAAGAATAGTAAATCCTACTTAAATAAGCTTATTACATAAAACAAATGAAACCCAAAAGCTGTACAGTTTAAACAGGTTCATAATTTTACATAAAATCAATTTAAACCATCAATAATAATGAGCTCTTTGATCACATCTCCATGTTCATCAATTTTATCTGTCCACTTGTTTCACCTCTAGATATACTCAACAGACTTCTATGATATTCTGTAATGTGAATCTGTACTGAAGTTGGTGGGAAACTTTAATTTTTATTCCTGTTGGTCCAATACAACCTTTATGAGGTTGAAATCAAATTTCATCAAATTCCCTACAAACAGACCACGTACCAAAAATGGGCACACATTAAAAAACATAACTCAACAAATTTTATGCTAGAGGATGTTAATCCAGCTGAACTCATAGGATAGTCGAATTGTCAATGGATGTAGGTCTGGCTGGACATTCTTGGAGTTGTATCACCAAGCAAAAATAAAGTTTTTGTTACTCAAGTACAAAGCAGTGTCAATAACAAAGTGTATATAATAATATCTTCTTCAGCAGCAGTCACAAGATGAAAGCTGAATACAAGTAGGGTACACGCTGAGGACACGTGACTATAATAAACACTGACTGTCTGAACTGAGAATATAGTATTAAATGTCTGTGGTTCTCAGACAGTACTGCAGTTAGTCCACAGTGTGGAGTCAAGCAATGACATGCCATACTACATTATACTATACCACACCATACCACAAGAAGAAAAATCATTCTGTATTACATAATATAAGAATATGCTGCCAGTGGGATGTTCCCACTTGCTGGTAACTTATGTTCAGAAGCTTTGTAAATGTCCAGCAGACACAGGGAGCTAGAGTTTGCTGACAGCTAAAATGAAGGGCAGGTAGCAACTCTGCAGAAATAAAGGGCAACCTCAAGCAAACTGATACCAGTCGCCTGAAGATGCATACATAATTGTGATAATCACCAAAAATAGAGGAATTGTTATGTCTGGGCACTGCAATGGTTATGGTGTGCTAAAGACAGATCAAGTTTCATAAATATCAACAATGCACAAAGTTAAGTACACACAAACATAACAAATGTGACAATATACACACATTGCTGATTAATTCCGCAGAGGGTGGCCACAATGCTTATAAAATAATAACGACAAAAGCAAAAATAATGATGGTAATAATATTGCATCCCAGGATGGAAATAAGTAATTTTAAAATAAAAAGTGATCTTAAAAAAGGTAAGACTTATTTCTTCATGGAGGAGGCTAGGGCTCGATTTTGGGCTGTTACGCCATAGTAGTAGTAGTAGTAGTAGTATTTCTTCATGAGAAACTTTTCTCATAAATTAACTCTCAAATCTCCCTTTTCTACCACTACATACACACCTGGCTGTAAGTACATGGGTAAGTGTCCCTCAGGAGATGAGCTACTAACAATGGGACCCACAACCTCGGTCAGGCGAAAACATGTGGTAACTACTTCACCAATCAGACTGTGCCAGCAACACTCACCAGCAATGCTCCTTCATTCACAGGCAAATAAAAATAAACATTAGATTCCACATTAAATTGAGATAAAGAGTATAATTCTGCTCTACAACATGTAAAAACACAGTTAATTAAAGTGACTGCTTCATATTCTAGCATCCTTCATGTATTTCACAAGTTTTTAAAATATGTGTTTACAAATTATATTAAAGAAACAGGTACCTCTGAAACACTAGTATACTTCTACCAGACTACACAGCACTACAAACCAGAAGACAAGTATCTTCATACTTGCTGTTGTGAGAACCTCAAATCCTATCTTTCATAAAATGCTGTTATACCACAACCAACATAAATGGTTATGAAGTGAGAAATACAACTAACGAACCCAAAATTCTATTTATTAGCCACAAAATGATGCCAGAATTCTCCTGCAGATAACCACTAGCCTTTGTCAGAATATAACTGACTTTAAGCTTCAATGACTGCAACTTCAGTAAAATGTATTTTTCGATCAAACAATGTATAATGTGACAATAAATGTCGACAGGACCTTGTTTAAAGTTTAAAGATATTTAAGTGATATGGTTCTAGTTGCTTGCGTCCAAAAAAGTCTTCCATTGGATTTCAATCTATAGTACCCTTAGTTATAGGAAATGTATTCCTTGTCGACATGGCTAACTGCCTAAGAAGACCTTATGACATTTAATGAAAAACTGGAATATATGTCCTATTCATATAACCACCATTAAAGTTCCAACTGCTAAAATTAAATGTTATTTAATCTACAGCTGATTTCAAATTTAATAAACTTTAAAATCAAAATAACACTAATTTCTTAGAAAGGTAAAGACTGAAATTAAACAGTAACTTATAGGAAGTAAAATTTGTACTGTATTTTGAATAGTATGCCACTGGAAATTGAATTAATTTGTTCTTTATATACAGTCTAATGTCATTTCCATTGATAAGTACTTCTGCTGGAGTGCTGATTAAACAAACTCACATGAAGTTGACATCAGAAAGCAGCTGCCTGATACAGAACAGAGTTCCATACATGGGCCCTGAAGCAGCTGCAATTAGTAGACTGTGACTGGCTCCAACAAGTTCTGTAGACAGACGACGGACCAGAAGACGAACAGCCAGATAGACTGAACTGAATCTTTCGTCATACCCTACAAACAAAGAGTGACACAAAAATAGTGAGATATGTGAAAAATTCACAGCAGATGATAATTTCCAAACCCACCACTGGTAGGTGCTATGTTCCGTTTTTGTTCAGCTTAGAGAAATTACTTATAGGTTTTACCTCTTCACATAAGTTTCCATGATCAATAAAAAAATACTTCATAAAAGGAACAAAGAATTTCATACCTTGCATGGCTGCCAGAACTACACCAGTCTGGTGGAATGTGACCAACACACGTAATAAGTATGCAGCAGTTATGCAGTCCGGTGGGCGGTGACTGGATGCAAGTTGCAGGGAAACTTCAATCAATGAATTCACTTGATCAGCTTCCTGCAAATAAATACACAGCAAAGTAAATCTTTTACTTTAATAAAGACACTTATGACCATCTAACATGTATTTTTCCTTCTGCTGACACACCGTTGAATTAAGAATTCCTGGTGTATTTTTCCAGCTATAAACATATACAAAGTTCTGTCAGACAAAACAGCACAAAGTCACAAAATATGTTTTAGCTTATGGTTTGATAACTAATGCAAAATTATAGTTAGACAAAAAATCATGATCACACATACAAATTCCATATGAAACACTTCTACGTGTTAATAGCTACAAACACAGTGACATTGTACAACTTTGAGGTTATCTCTAACGAATGTAATGTTACAAAAATATCTGTTTGTGGAAATTATATAATTATTAATTTGTAGTCCTTGATAGTCTCACCATATACAGACAGAAGTATTTTATTGATAGCAGGCACGGTAAGTGCTGCTAGATCACTTCTGCCCATCACTTGATGCAATCAGTCTCTCATTCCAAATCAATGTCTCACTGACAGTCATGCACAGATAAAATCACCACCTTGTGTATGTGTTCAGGTACATTGTCCAGCCATACTCTCTTTACTTAATACTTATAACTAAAGAAAGAAATATGACAGAAAGTTTTGCAAAACAAGAAAGGGAGGCAGCACAAACAATTCAAATGAAATTTTTATGCATTAGAGGAATCTTAGGTTTGCCAGTCTGCATATTTCATTTCCATCACTACACAAATAATTTCAAGGAATAGATTTACTTTACACTACTCGAGGCTATTATGCAAACTTATTTTGATTCAGATAGATCCACTAAAAACCTCACTTCACATTAAGTTCAAATTAAAGAGTTTCTTATAAACAGCTGATTATATAAAATGACTGGTACATAATGTTAAATGCAGTTTTCATGAAGATATAACTTTCTTCTGAAAGACTTTTCAGTACATACAAATTGAGAGAAACTAACATTTAATCCAAGAACTTCTGCTGGAAATGTGATGAGAAGCTGGACAGCTAACATCTTGTTGTTTTCATATGAGTCTTTAAGACACTCTAACAGAATATTTGCATAGCTCTGTGTACACACAGTGGGTGGACAGGGAATCCACACTGGCTCTGACGAGTCAAAACTTAAAATTTCATGGCAAAGAGAAAGTATCTGAAAAAGAATAACAAACTACAGTTCCACCATACAAAACAAAATAAAACAAAGTGAAATTCACATTATGTATAAAATATAAAAACGGCCCTGACTTTACTATAGATATAATATTCATCCACACATGAAACTGGATTCTCTGTTAATTAACCATAACACCTTCAGCAGTGTTTATCATGCAAATAACTATTTGTTCACAGAAACTTCATCAAAAGTGTTAAGATTATTTGTGACTTGCTAAGAACATAATTTGCATATTATGCATTCAAATACATATGGACACACACACATACATATACAAAGGACTCTAGAAACTTTGTCCAGAAATAGTATCAGTCTATCTTTTAAGGAACAAGATGGACTAACATATGGACTTTACTTTAAACCAAATAAGGATACATTATTTGAAAAGGTAAGCAAGGCATATATGAATTGTAAAGCACCTCAAAAAGTTTATATGATAGCAGAAAGTTATGTGATCCAGTATTCTTACATGTAGTTGATAACGTGTCACTAAATTTTTAAATATTGGGCAAAGAAAACTAGTCATGCATTAAAAAATTCTGGGTTCAATTCCAACCACTGTAAATAATCTTCAAATAACATGAATACAGCAGTACAATTGACTTTCAAAATGTTGTGGACATCACCAAACACAATATTAGCACAATGAACCAAACATTAAGAGAATCACTTAAAGACTGATAGTGTCCAACAATAAACAAAACAATTGCTTCTATCAAACTACATACAGTTATTAACAGCAGCAAGTTACCTATTCAATACAAAGGAAGAATTTTAAGAAAGGCCACATGATACTAAATACATTTAAGATGTTTCATATGCCACCCTTATATACTTCTAAACCATAAAACACAGGGGAATTCTGGGTTGCATTCTTCCAGCAGATTTAATGTTTATAACCTACAACATACACTGAATATGATAAAGCTTCAAGCTGATAAATACTTGTTTTGTTATTTAGTACATGATTAGCATATTTTCCTTTCTGAATACTCCTTTTTATAATTATATGTATGACATCAAAAGTACCTGCAGTGATGAGCTACGACGACCAATGTTTGCACCTGGAAATAAATTGTTGAAGGAAAATTCCAGCAGCCACAGGAGAAATGTATTGTATGTCCTGAGCAAATGGCTCTTGTCACTGTCAGTTTCCAGCTGCCTCTTACTAGCCTTGGTTTGTCCAGTTTTCCAATGAAGCACTCGAGAGCCATCTCTCAGTCTGGTAAGAATCTGCCAGAAAATAAAACAAAATCTTGAATAAAAATAAAAAGTATATTCCATGCCTTCTTAATCTCAGCACAAGATGGAGGTGAGCTTCATGCTTCATGTACACACCCAGTCACAAAGTGAAAGTTGCACCAATATTATATGTAATGTAATTTAAATCTCTTCTGAATTTCTGATTTACTATTAAAGTTTAATCAACACCTTGTGGCATATACAGACTGCTCCACTGCAGTACCACTGTCTTGACATGAATAATAACCACATGCTAAGTCAAATGGAAGCAAGTTACATATTCTTTATTAACCTCTATCCATATCCATATCCACACTAAACACAAATGTGATTCACACTGTACAATCATCTCACATACCAAAATGATAAAGCAACACGCTGAGGACATAATACTGGCTTTCCACTTCACTTTACCAATTCAACAGGTCAAATAGCCACTTTACCGAGGGTCAACGTAAAGTAAAAATACACAATTCCTCGCACACATGGAGCTGAGCATCAACTCATGATATGTTGTGACGTACCTTATCTTTAAACACAAATGTAATCTCTGTACTTGCAACTAAATTACTTGGAGTCTCTTTTATAGCCAACATCTCATATACTTTGAACAAAAATAAGAATTTATTCTGAGAAATCATCTATGTATAAATTACTGAGGTACAATTGTTCCATGTTCTCAGAGGGTCTACATTCAGTTTAAAATTTCATGGCAGTAAACTGTTTCAAAAAGAAAGGCTGTCTTCTCATATTGGAAAAAATACTATGCCTTGTTTCTGTTAATTTGCTCAACACAAATATAAAAAGCATAATGCCATTATTAGAAAATATAAGCCAATAACATATTATAATAGCAAAACTTGAAAACAAAACAAGATGGCTATTGCACAGAAAGGATTGTATATTTGTCTTAGAAACTTAATATTGACAAAGACACAGAATTCAATACTGCAACCCATTTCCACTTTAATAGCTATAAAATAAGCATTTTATGAAGTTATGAAAACAGATTAGAACATGCTCTTGATTGTTTGGGCTAATGTAAGTAACCTCCTACATTCAACTATTCTAAAGTTAGAAGAGCATAAATCACAATTTCCTCCAGAGACATACACTTTTTAAAGTCTACTAAATGAGAAAGACAGTAAAAATATATTATTAAAAGTTTCTTACATTCTACTTTGGACAAAGAATCTTACTATTGTTACATTACATATTATATTTGGACATGAAAAGGGAAGCAACATTACACTAATGTCTCTGAACACCATCCTATAACAAATACAAAGACACCGGTTAAACTTAAAGATGTAAGAGTGCATTAAGCCATACCACATTACTGCAAGCTCCAGTACTAAAATACTTCAATACTTAAATTGCTAATAAATGTACCTTTTTCAGAAGAGCCAGAGTCTTCTGCCTGGAAGATGGGACCTCCGAGTTAACATTGTATTCTAAAAAGGTTTTGATTAACTGGAGCTCAGATGCAGAGAAGGTCTCAGTGCTACGATGGCTCTCAGCAAGCAGAGACAAAGCTGATATTCGAATCTGTGCATAATATTACCATAACTTTATAAAAGTAATATTAACTTGAAGGTGGCTGTCTTCTGGGTTGTGCCAGACTACATAGTGTAACAACCCAGAAGACAGCCACCTTCTGACTCACAGCCATGAAAACCTCACATCCTACATAATATAAACTTGCTAAGGTCTATATATTTTAAAAAAATATCACCCAACAAGGTCCAAACTATTTTGTATGAAACTGAAGTGTTAGGCTGAATCTGACATCTGAATTAAACATGATTTTCCAAATGTGAGGCTGAGAAAAATAGAACACCTTTGAGATCCATTTATTTATTTAACACATGATAATTTACTTATTTTAATTTATAAGATTATCAGAAATGTCAGATTATTCAACCCATAACTAGACAGGAATGTGATTTTTGACAACATCAGGCTCAGTCCAACAGAGTATCACAGAAGTTTAAAAACAATCACACTTCTATACTAATGTAAAGAGCTATCATGACAATACTAAAGATCCCACTTTTTCTTCTATTATTTCACAGCATCCATCACATTAAGATGGTATACTGTGCAATGTGGAGTCAGTTATTTTGAGCATAAGTATTGGGTGGGAATCTCACAGGATGTAATAGGGTATATATATATATATATATAAATGCATTACTGAAGTATATGCAATAAGAATTCACTCAGTCCTCATGCTGCAGTTATACAGACACACACAACTAGGAATTCAAGACAAAACTGTAGGATACAATCACATCCGCATAAGAAGAACTTTATAAACTTACATTACTTAAAATCATTATAAGCAGTGTTATCTCCAATTCTGGTCTGCTTCATACGTGATTATAACCATTTACAATGCAAAATTAATCTACATAAACCAGTGTTTCATTGAGTTGCAACTATTTTTCAATCATAAAGTTATCACTATGCAGCATCACAATGGTAAATAACAGAAAACTGGTCAACATAAATATATATTGATAAGAATGTCACAATAAAACAGTTCATTTTCAGTAGTTTACTTTGAGAAAAGCCTGAACAAAGAAAGAACGGGCAATTTCATTAGTTTGGAGATTATTTGGAAATTATAATGAAGATGTTCTTGTTTCAAGTGTCAGGTCCTGGAAAAAGAAGATTAATAAAAACATTGATGAAGGGGGAAATGCACACACGAAAAAAACCTTCAGAAAGATTAGAAGGAAATATTGGGCCCCTCCTTGTTCCAATGGTCACAACACAGAAATTTAAATAATGCGTGAAAACTACAATAGCATGCAATAAGGTAACAAGGCCTGATGGCATTCTAGTTTACAGTACTTGCCACCAATTAAGTATTCACAAGAATTATGAGTGGTGTGTGCATAACTGCATCTTTTAATGAAAATTAAATGTTATTGTGATAACATTAAGTAGAGGTATCAGCCCCCACCACACCACCTCCAAAGCTGACTACATTAAAAGCCTTAATAAGATCATTAAATAAAATAACAATGACATAAAAACATAAATATATATTTTGCATACAAAAAAAGTGTGGGGTACGTAAATCAGATTCTTCAAGCAAGCTTGATAATCTGCGCTGTAAGACTTCCAGGAGACAATTCAAGCTTTCACCTTGCATGTGGACAGCAAAAGCAAAATCTATGTGACTTATTTCCTCCTTCATACTTCAGTATATATAGTAGATGTTGAAGTACCTTGCAAAACTAAACAAGCATTTCTTTTTGTAACTATCCTATGTATTGCACAACTACTCACTTCAACATCATGATGATACAGTGCTTGCTCCAGAACTCTTATATCCAAAATACCCTTCCACAAACCAGAACAATGCTGAAATTTTGACTGATCATCCAGTGCACCTTGTTTTCTGGCCACGCAAATGCAACTAAGAAGAGTGCGGATATGTGTTGTCTTGGTGCACATATCTGATATCATGGGTAGTAGGACGTGGGTTACAAGTCCTGGATGGTATGTCACTGCTGTGGCAAACAAAGCCTGCAGTGGGCCACACACAGAAGGGGATGCATGGGACAGCATTTCTAGGATAGGTACAATCCATAATGCTCTCCAAGTATCTTCCTGACATTCACCTATATGTTGAAGCATAAGACGCTCCACAGCAGATGAAACCTGAAAAAGTGTAACAAATAATGATATGCAAGTAAAGGATAAGTTCTGGCAATTAATAAAGGAGTTAACACTGAAAAGTGAACAGCTATTTTTTACACTTCCCTTGCAGCAAGAAGATAATAACCCCATGGTTGTCAACCTAAGGAGATAAGCTTTCATCTGATTACAGAGTATATGAGCATATGATGACACAAATGCAATGTAAAAATCAAAGTAACACCCATATTTACCAATCATATATGTTATAATATTTCTCTAAGAGCTACTATCCATCATATCTATGTTAACAAATGTTCCATATGGACTTAAAGAACTGAAACTTAGTATACAGAAAGCACCCCTTAGGCATATAGATAATATGAAAGGTGGTTCTTTAGGAAGTAAGGTGTAAGGGTATGGACTGGATTCATCCAGTTAAGGGTCTAGTCTGATGGTAGGCTCCAACATTCACCTAGAACAACTTATTTTACTCTCAATCTGTACTACCTAACAGATAACTGATAAGTGCATATCAGATGAACTTGGTAACCATACTCTTAGAAACAAAATTAAAATTAAGGACATGACTTACAATAATGGCATTTGTATCAAATAAGATGGTCAGAATTCCTAAGAAACTAAAACTTTCAAGTAATTACTCCACATTATACCAGCCATTACCCAAATGTTCAGACAATGAAAAATACATATTAACAATCTTTCATAACCACCAGACAACATACATATGTACGTACGTACGTACATACATACATGATGCTAATAAATACAGATGATGGAAATGTTCAAAGGGTTAACCTTTATCTTACTAGCATTCCCAGTCTGGGACGTAATATGTGTACTCAGCCCTACGAACGTTCCTGGAGCGGAACTCAAAACTTGCAACATTGTAAGTACACTTGGCTACGTCTTTTAGGCTCTTTTAGGGGCTGCAAATATTGAATCACTTTCTCTAGGGTTCTGACAAGTTCAAC